GATGTATAACTGGATAGCTGATTATAAGAGTTCACTCAGATAATTTACAGTTAACTATGTTTGAGATGGTTTTAACTTCTGCCTCCATTTCTACAGACCTTTTATATCTGGTATTATTTATGTACCAGTGACTTGCTAAAGGCACAGGGAAGCTTGTGCAATTCATCTCTTGCATTAGATAAAGAGCTATTTCTAATTTTTGTTTTATACAAGCATGGTCAGTGGTTAGTATTGCCTTGGCCAAGCATTTGGTATAGGACAAAGTTCAAATGTTCATGGCTTTACTTTCTTAAACTGACTTGACATTAAAGATAATTTTTTCCTAGAACCAGTGTTTGACCAATTTAAAGACTTAGTGAGTTGCTGGGTGTGGTGGCACACACCTTTAATCCCAGCATTGGCAGAGACAGGTGGATCCTTGTGAGTTCAAGGCCAGCCTGGTCTACATAGTGAGCTCCAGGCCCGCTAGTGAGCTCCCTATAGGGAGACCCTGTTTCAAAAAGACCCAAAAAGAAAAGAAAAGAAAAGAAAAGAAAAAGACTTAGGGATTTGAAAGATCAGGATTAATTTGTTAAAAACAACTAGTTAAAAAAATTTTTTTTTAATTTAAATTTTATTTTATGTGTGTGCGTATATTGCCTGCATATAGGTAAGTGCACCCGTGTCGTGGTGCAATGCCCGCGGAGGTCAGGAGAAGCTGTTAGATCTCCTGGGACTGGAATTACAGATAGTTGTTAGCTGCCATGTGGGTGCTGGGATTCGAACCCAGGTCTTCTGCAAGGACAACCAGTGTTCTTAATGGCTGAGCCATCTCTCCAGCCCAATAACTAGGTTTTTAAAATGATAATATAACAATTATAGCCAAGTTAATCTGATGTGTTTACATGTGTGTGTAACACACACACACACACACACACACACACACAAAGAGAAAGACAGAGGGGGGAATTTTTATTTCCTCATGAACATTTCTTGGTGTCAAAAGAAATATTTTCGCCTTTCCTTACTAAAGTATAACTTGATTCCTGATACATAGTATTTTTTATATTGATTGCATTAGTTTTATTTTTCTGGTAGAAGTTTATATTTTGGTGAATTGGGTGCAAAATTTTGACCTGCAATAGTTTCTGTATCTCAGGAAGGAAGCAACAGGATTTTAGCAATACTTCTTTTAGGACCTAATTTAATAATGGAACTCATTTTCAGATATTGTGAGTTTGGGAGAGCTCTTAAGCTCTTATAATACAAATATTTACCTTAGGCAAACTTTAAAAAATATATCTTAGGGCTTGGTGTGATGGCATATACTTTTGATCTCAGCACTCAAGAGGCAGAGTCAGGTGGATTGTAGTGAGATCTAGGCCAGCTGGGACTACATAGTGAGACCTGTCTCAAAAAAAAAAAAAAAAAACAAACAAAAAGAAAAATATAAAAAAATTATTAATTCTTTGAGAATTTCATCCAATGTATTTTGATCATAGTCATCCCCACTTCTTTTCCTACTCCTCTCAGTTCCCCCCCCACCTCCTCACCTCCTTAGGATAACTTTTTATATAAAACAATATCTTGAGGCAAAGAAGCTTACTGTATTTAATGCAGCTAAAAGATTTGACATATAAATGTAAAGTATGAGCTTGGCTGAATCTTGGACCAGAAAAAAAGTTTAAAGGACATTATTGTGACAATTGTGATAATTTGAGTAAGACATGTAGATTAAATCTCAACATTGCATTAATGCATTTTGACGCTTGTCTCCCGAAGAATTGTCTGCTGAAATATAATACAGTGGGATAAAGAGCATGGCGCATGCTATCCACAGTAAAGACAGAACATACAGCAAATGTAGAATGAAGGCCGTTAGTAAATGTGGTTGAATTGACCTATTCCTACAGTATTTCTTCTTCTTCTTTTTTTTTTTTTTTTTTTTTTTTTTTTTTTTTTTAGGGGTTCT